GTATACCCGTCTTGCCTGCAACACTCCAGAGAGAAAACTTAGCTCCTACAGCTGGGTTAAGCTAGGTTGGCTGGGTTCAAGATAAGCAATCACTTTCAAAGAACTATCATGTGGAGGAACCAATATCCTGGGAAAAGGACCAAGTGCTTTGGGCACCAGCCTGATGGGTGGAAACGCACGAGCATGTCGGGCAGTCTTTTTCTTGCAAGCAAACTTGGAATTTAATGGCAAAAAGCAGTCAGCGGTTCCAAGTAGGGGAGACAAGAGCTCATCTTCCCACCCAAGCACATGTGGCAACAAGGTTTTCCCCAGGGGATCATCTTGATGGAGAAATCTCAGATCTTTCCTTTGAATAGGGAATAGATGATTGCCATAAATATATAACATACGGGGATGCTCTTAGTCCTTTTAGGTTGACTCAGAACTGACATCCATTAGCATCCCCACTCTCCAAGCCCAAAAGGCCAGGAATTAATTTTCAACAGCCTTTTGAAGTAGTTATCTATCATTTGCTTCCACATGACATATGTTTACTTTGCAAAATCAAATTCATGCTTGGGACCTGGAGCAAAACACCACAAAACACAGAGAGACCATGGAAAAACTCAATGTGTACATTACAGAGAAACGAGGGAAAGTAATTCTACAAATAAGAATTTCGATGGTCTATTCTGCATACTTAAAACTTAAGCTCAAAGTTATAGGAACACTGTAACCAAAGCCCTTGTAATTATTCTTACTTTTCTCTATAGAAAAGGAAACAAACGTTGTTAATTTGCTGCTAGAGGAAAAAAGGTCAGGCCATAAAATCTTATCACGCTTAGCAATTATGAAAAACAATGTCACCTCTTCTGGAAGTGGATGACCCTTCTTAGAGCTCACTAAAACCAAAGAAAAGCCAAGTGTTCCTAGAACGAGCCTTTTTCTAGCCAAGGGAGCTTCAGCATCCCAGACCATGATCTAAAATTGATAAGATGCCAGAAGGCAGGAGGTAACTAGAATAAGGAGAAATCTCAGCTACGATTTTGCTAAAACCTGGTCAGCAATGGAAGAAGAGAGAACTTGAGAACACACAACTGCAAAGTGCTCTCCCTCGTGCATCTATTGAAGGCATCAGTTTGTGCAACCTCCGCTTTAAAACACCTCCATCAAAACTACAGAGCAGCAAATAGGTCTCTGAGCACGATTCGCTGTTTGAGAGAGATTTTGTTGACAATTGGCTGAACAAATTCCCTCTCAGAGCAACAGCTGCGAACCCTGCTGAGGGCATCTGTCGGGTGGTTAATACTTGTTGGGAAGTATCTCGCTTTAAGGGTGTTTTGTTTACAAAAGGAATTCCTATGCTTTTTAACACAGCGTTAAAGATACTGTGCCTCCTGTTTGTTTACATGTAATGTTCGATCTGTGTTGTCTCTGTGCACTTGCACTGATTTTCCTCCCAACAGGGGGCTAACATATTGAAGGGCTTTTTTGATTGCCTGCAAGTTTATATTGAGGTATAATAATAACAGCCCAGATACAGAAAGGTTATTAAATGAAGTGTAACAAGAGATGTCTGGCCCCATTCTTTCCTAACTGGCAAAAATAAGGGGAAACTCCACCTAAGCTAAAGCTGAAAAGGCTCTTAGGAATGCCTGTAATGTCAGTGAGCCTTCCCCGGACCCGGCTCACCACCGTTCATGCTGGAAGGGGACAGGCATAGAGGTCCTCAGGCTCGAAACGCCTCAAGCTCCGGTGCTGTTGGAGAAGGGAGCCCCGAGCCAGAATATTAACATTTTTGCTTAAATACCTGTAGAAATGGTACCCTGCATGAGAAGTTCCCCCTTGCAGAGGGGTTTTGAAATGAGAACGAAAACTGGTTAGGTCCTTATTTTTTGCAGATCCACGGTAAGGGGACAGTTACAGTACAGGCTGGCTCGGTTGGATGCTGCAAAACACACACTTCATGTGTACATACGAAAGTAAGGACATGTTTGGAAAATCACTCAGAGATTTTAGGAAGAAAGCAGAAGACATCTCGCAGCCAAACTCTGAGGCTATGTGTCGAAAAGCTCAGCTGGAACATAAAAACGTTGTAAGCACTCACATTCAGGGAAAAGTGCCACAGATTTAATGTTAAATATGCAAGGCTTCCATTTGCAAACTAATACTTTCTTCAGTAAAATGTTTTCCAGCAGTTACACAAACCCATCAATTTAGAATAGTGTCAGAAGAAATGGGATATAATTTTCAGTACTTATGTCTGCAGGACCTCTTCTTTCCTCCTGTGTTCTCCAAGAAAATGCGCAGGAAGTCCAGACAAGGTTTAGCTCGTAAGCTCATGAACATGGTCTAAACAGATCAAGATCCTCAAGTATGTTACTTAGTGAAGTAGCTCCTGTTCACATCTTGCCTTTCCTACCCCAGTTCTGAAACTGTTTTCTAAATATGTTATCACATTGATGATTACCACGTAAGGAACAACAACAAAAAGGATATAGCAGCCCACAAAAGTAAATGTTTATTTAATACCAAATAAAACTAAGGTCCTCATGGGTGTGACTTGCAGATTCAAGCAATTCAAGATTCAAGGTTCCACAGACTGATTCCTGATATATAGTGATGTGAACTGGCAACAGAATGGGATTATTCTCAAGAAATAAGAGACCTGCTACCAGGCCTCTCTTTGGAGAGCCAGGCATTGCAATGGTACTTTATTTACTTTGTACCGAAATCCATTTCTATTCAAAGATATCACATCGCAATGCTGAAGTTCGGTGTTGACACTGCTACCTGCAAACCCCTGTGGGAAGGTAACGCTGCCCCATTCTGGGGCTGTGGCCGAGTGACATGAGCACATATAAAACGAGCTCTCCTGGCACAGACGGCTTTGCACTGACTGAACCTCAAAACCAAGGTAATCACCTGAGTCAGACTCCTGCACAGTGTTCAAAATAAAGTGCTAGGTGAAACTAGACCTTTGCTGTGCACTGAAAATGCTCTAAGCAAGCAGGCACTCTAGAGAATGGCCTTCTGAAGCCTTACACCTGTGTGTAGGATCTATACATTAACCTCACAGTTTTATGCTGAAGACCATTAGTATGTCTGCTATAAATTCTACACACACATGGATAGGACTCATACAGCTGTACTGAGGTGCTTCTATCTCTTTCGCACTGCTAGCTTGATTTCTGACCTGGCTAAGGCCAAAGGCAGGATGTTTAGATGAAGGATGAGCAGTTCTCTCTCAATTCGTGCTTACCCACCGATTCTTACACGTAGGCCGCGAGCTCACAGCCAGTAAGACAAAACCGGTCTGAAGGAAACTTCATTAACATCTCAGAACTGTCAACTTGGGAGAAGCAGAAAATTAAAGCACATCAGCAACAAATGACATCACAGGATTAAACTAAAAATATAAACCAGTGATACCTGGCGAAAATTACCCCAACGGGAGAAGGGCTGGAGAAGGGCTTCTGTGAGCACAAAGGAACAGTGACATCTTGTGGGGACTTCACTGAAGTGAGCTCGCAGAGGGTCTCATGACTGCAATGTTAAGCAAGCAAAGGAAACACTACTATAGCTTAATACATGTGCCATTAATAATATTTGCCAGAAATTAGGCTTTATTGCTTTTATAGTGAGGAATGAATTTTTTTAAAATAAAAAGCAGACAGATAGCTAGTAAGAAAGACTTTCAAAACAAAATTAGAAGTGTGGAATCCAGCTAGCGCCGCAGCTCCCTCCGCTTTCCCTGGGAGTGGTTACGTTTCTCACTGTATATCACTCATCTAACATAAAAATGGCATAAGGGCAAAGTCGCAAGAGAGCAAACAAGGGATTATGCTGTAAAGGCGTACAGTCAAACTTAAAAATGACATCTGTATCAACTGTTTAAAAACACACACACATAAATATTTAATAAATAAAGCTTTCCCTTGCCACCAAGTAACAGACTATGCCAAAGGTACTTCTTGAGAAAGCAAATTTATATCAGAATGGAAAATTAATGTATCCTTCATCCCAGTACAGTACCTAAAATTTGGACCCCTCAGATTGCATCATATCACAGAATATTATTTTCTGGGACAGACCTTCAATTGCTGTAATGTGTTACAACTCCATGAAGACACCTAGCTCTGACAGTTTACAAGAAGCAAAAAACGTTTGATATTTTGTAAGCAAGTTTGTACCTGACAAACTGAGTTATAAAAACATAGCATTTACAAACTTAGAAGATGACAGATTCTCCTAGCATAATGCTCACGTGTTCATCTCGCTTCCTTTTACCTGAGTAACCTAAGTAAACAGATTACAAGGCAATTTAAACGTATTAGCTAATACAAGATTTACTGGACTTCTGCTATATAGAAGTGTACTTTGACACTATTTGCAGTTTTACAAATACAAAATGAATAAGAATTTTTAAACATTTACTGAGCAGCCATGTCTTTCATATTCTGTACAAATCAACAGGTGCAGTGGAATTATGTACAGAATTTTTTAGCATTTATTTTTGAACAGATTTTGTGCAACTTGGCTTTACTGTGCATTTAACGAACTGCTGTCAACATTGCAGACCTGTTATATTTACTGATGCCAGAAATGGAGAGTACAGAAAAGGACAACAGCTCCTAAAGTAATACTGTGCTATGCAGACATCTGTACATAAGTCAAATAGTGCATATTAATCAATGTCTGATGAAGAATAATATTTAGCAGCTAATACAGACAATGGCATTTACAGCTACTAGGTTTGTTACAGTAAATATGGAGGAATGAACTTTTCTATATATAAACACTGAAGGAAAGGACTTGAATTCATTAGGAAGTTATGTAATAATTAAAGAAGCTTTCAATTCAACTTGCAGAAGATTAGTGCAATAGGAAGAAATCCTTTACAGTAGCAATGAAATCATTCAGAAACATTGTGAACTCAAAGAAAATTCAGTTTTATTTTATAATCATAACGGTTGAATGTAAAAAAAAAAAGTTAAAAAAAAAAAGATAACATGAAGAAACTTTAGTTTACTTCTGGTAGTCTTATGTTACAGCATGTCAGTTGTTTCCTCTTCTTGCGCTCCATCCACTCCTTTACTTTTGACTTTTATTTTGTTAGTCCATCATCAAACTACAGACAGAAAAGCACAGTGAATGTGCAATATGCGGACTGGCATGTGTGAAAAACCCTAGGAATATGTTCACTTTTACGAGGTAAGCTTGGAATAACTTGGAGGAGAAAATTTGCGCTTCAAGTACTTGAGAATGTAAAGTGGAAGACAGCTTACAACAGTGATTGCTGACACTTTCCACAGGAAGGTCACAGTTGTGATAAAGGCAACATCTGCAGGAATAAAAAAGGAAAATAAATAATGGGAACTGATAACATGGAAGCTGGGACTTCCACGGTGCAAAGTCATTACATCTCGCTTAATTGTCTGCTCATGCCATTGTTTAAGACCACGCAAGAAAACAACAACAAACAGACTCCAACAACAAAACACGATCAACAAAAAGCACAGACACACAGATCACAAAAACAAACATCAACCTAAACAATGGGTTATTTGGAAAATAGAGACAGTCCCTACCATTTTATTTTTGTCAACTGACTAATCTTTATTTTTTTTCCCCTACTAAACTTCAGTGGCCCTATATGCTCCTTAAGCTGCTTTGCCACACAAAAGAATGTTAGGGGAAATATGATCTTGGTTTAATAGCAATACTTTTTCATTTTAGAAGGTATGCTAGCATATCGTATTTTTCTGCAACTAAATATATTCTACCTACTAGAATGCAAGCTCCCCAAAAGAAACTCTGCTACAAGATTAAATGACTTATTCATATTTATTTTTCTTTGAAACAGGCACAACTGAATGTTTCTTAAAACTTTAGAGAAAAAAAATAACCTCAAAATTCTCAGAAAATTAATTTAAATTATTTTGCTTAATTATGTTGCCATGGATTGCAGCCAAAAGCTTTTTTTTTCTCTGAAAAATGTTACTGACGATGACGATGTGTTACACTGAAGACTGCTGAAATTTTCTGACCATATTTGCAATCATCAGACTGAAGGTAATTATCATGACAATAACCCAGGCATCAAATAACCCAATGATTTTTTTTTCTGCTTTTCAGTTATTTGCAATTGCAAGTATTGAGTAATTTACTTTTCAATAAATTTTCAAATATTTTATTTTGATCTTCAAGAAAAGTTAAACTTCACCTACCTAAGAAAGCTCCAAAAGACACTCTGCCTATACCTGTTCCATAAAGAAGAAGGAAAATGAAGGGATAGATTTACAGAAAATAGGAAAGTTACATGAAAAAAAAAAATCAAGCAAAAGATTAGCTACACAAAAAGGCAACAACAAAGATGTTAGCATTAACTTAAATACTATCACCTCTCATATGACAATTGGAATTATTTTCAACTGCAGATAAAGTAAAACAATATTTTGAAAAAAGCAAGATGCTACAGGTAATCATGTTTTAAAAACGTAAGTAGCCAGTTTTCCTACGTCACTTGATTTGACTTCACAGTATAAGTCACTGTACAAGCAGCCTAATTTAACACACTCGAACTTTTAGACATCAATAAAAATTCACTTCAGAAAGATGCAGTAAAAAGAAATGCTTTTACTGCTCCAATTCTGCTCATTAATACATACTTTGTATATTACTTTTCGGTATTTAAATTTTGTATACAGTTTTTGTCTGAGCCTGTTTTAAAAGCCTATGCTACATGTCTCAGGAATGTGTCTAATCAGGCCATTCTATGCAATTAACTCAAATAAAAACCTAAAAACTGATTTATTTCCATGAGTCAGAACTGTAGGGTAATATGAAGCATTCATCTTCCTATTCTGAGTTGTCATACTCATGGTATCATTTCTTTTGAGAGCTGATGACGTTGTTCATGAGAAGTGAAATTATATATATAAAAAAAAAAGTTTATTTGCATGTAAAACCAAGACACTGTTGAACTGGACTATTTTCCCTTTACACAAGGAAATTGTTCTGGACCCTGAATCACAAAGGTCCCTCACTTAGGTTTATCCTCCTTTGCATATACAAAGGAGGTTCTCCACACAGACAAAATTATAATGTGACAGATTAAGTAAGAGTAGAGCATTAATGAGAAATGAACCTAATGAACATGTTTTCTTGGATCAGCTAGTGAATAAACGACAGTACAATATGTCTTTACAACAGCCCATGTAAGTCTAGCCTTTTTAATGCTCTTCAGTGAAGATGAAAAATACAGAAGTCAAATCCCCAGGCTGCAATAAGCCATGCAGCTATTTACTTATTCGTTTGGTCAGACTTGGCTAGCAAACACATGGGGATAAAAACACATTTTTTTTTTTTAATGGACAGTCTCTGCATTTTTTCACTCCTGTGAGCACTGATGTTCTCACTGAACATCTACACAGGATGCAGGGACTGGCCATCACCTATACTGTAGGCTTACAGAGGTGAAACAGCAAATTCTGTTTTATGAGAAGTTACTGGAAGACTGGAGCACAGAGCCCGTATCTGTTCTTACTTGTTCCTCTCATTTGTAATCTGTGTGTGGAGATTCAAGAATCACCCAGGACTGTATTAAACTGTACAGGCATCAGTATCAGAGCAACAAAACTAAAGAGAAACTCTAGAAAACCTGAAGGAATGCATAATACTAGTACCAAACCGAGCAGACTTTTTTTTTTTTTCTCTTTTCTTTCCCCTCACTAGAATTAGACTCTCCTGAAATCTGAGAATTAACAAAACACCTGAGACAGGCATGGAAGCATGCAATGTTTATTTTACATATATATATATATATATATGCATATATATATAGTAATTACACTTGCCTTGCATTGAGCTGAATGGGACATGAGCAAGTGAAAGCAGAATTTACAGTCCTAGAAACTATCATGTGACATTTAATTCTGAGAAGTGATAATTTAAGAGTAGCAATTTTGCTCATCAGTTTCTGAAGAACATACTGGAGGAGCTAGATTCTATTCCTTGTGAGGCAAAACCCATTTTTTTTTTCTATATTTCTGTAAGTTACATCTGTAAAAACCACACTATGCCTGGGATACCTATTTTCACCAGAAGATAATATGATTTAAAAAAGTCTTAGTGCAGTTGGCCAGTTTATTTTGACACTCAGATCCTTGCCTGTTAAGACTTGCAGTTAAAATTTGCTCCCTTCTTTTATCTTGTGAACTAAGAATAGAATTCATTTATGAAAAATCAGAGCCACAAGGCATAGTATGGCATAAGTACAATTTCAAAAAAAACAAAACAAAACTTACTATAAGCTTCATATAGTTATGAAATTAATGTTTCTTAAATAAGATACCCTAAGAGCCTTCTGCCTCACTCTCTCATTAGGCAACAGTAAGCTCTTTTAAACTTCCACGTTAGATCTAGCGAGATCCACTTGGGGTGGTTTTTTGGAGCAAAGTAATCCATCAGTTTGGTGAAAGATCCTGAAGAATCCCGAAGATTAACTTTTATTAAATCATATCCATTTCAGTAGTGCAAAACACGAAGCCAATTTAAGATAAGCAGTTTGAATTGCTCCTGGGAGATCAAACAGAGGAGGAGGAGGAGGAGGAGTAAAGTATGTATGACTTGAGTAAACTCTATTACCTAGATAAATACATTAACAGGAAAAAAAGTCTGTCAAATCCTGAGAAAACAGGACAAGAAAATATTTTAACCCAACAGGGTAAGTCTAATTTCAAGTCACACTCATATTTCTTATGGAGAAAGCTGTATTTCACAAAGCGTAATACTCATAGTGCCAACATTAAGTCAGTAAGTCATAAAGCACAGTTCTTTGCCAAAATGCTTTTGCTATTACTCACCAAAGTATTCATTTAGAAATGCAAGAGAGGCCACATAGCAGCCAAGACTGAGGAATTCAGCCACCACCATTAACCAGTGCCATGTTCGTATGGTCAGTGCAACCATCAAGAGCTCAGTCAAGATTAGGGCAGTGAAGGAAATGGCAACAACATGTACAAATTCAGATTCAAAAAGCAGCAGGGCTCCATACATCAGAATACCACCTAGAAAAGGGACAAAAAAGTTAGAATTGTACTGTACAATGAAATTCTACAGTACTGTCTTCCACAACCACATGCTGAACGTTTTATTGCTTATTACAAAACTCTTAATTTCTGTAAGGCACACTGAACTATGTAGAACAGCAGTCATACTCTACTTTGTGGGTGAAACAGAACAACAGAAGTCAAACAGTAGAGAAATAAAGTTATTAGAATGAAACACTTTTTAGTACAATATATCTGATCAACCGTTAATTAACCTTATTTTGTCTAGAGCTATAAATAAATGAGAGATTGTTGAAAGTATAATTACGTTTAACTGATTACATAATTCAGATTTCTTCAACAGTACTTCTGTCATTCTTTGAAACAAAAGTACTGTGTAAGCGAATACAATGTGATAAGCACTCATTAAAATTTTTCTGGATTAGCATTTAATTAAAAACATGTCCTTTTTTTTTCTTAGGCGACATGCATCAATAAAAACACCAATCTATGCTGCATTGTGAATAGGCCTGGCACACAACAGGAATATCGATTTACGAGATAAACAGAAGGCAATACATATAACTGTTGATGAAATGTTATAAGCTTTGGGAATTCAACCTGCAGCTGAAAAACAATACTGTTAATAGCAGACAAAAAATTCCCAGTTCAGTAAAATTAAGAATCTCTCCTACCTTGGTAAATACTGATTAAAACCCATACGAGGAAGGTCTTAAATGACAAAGATCTTCCCTGAGGGAAACAAGAGAGGATAGTTAAAGGCAATAAAAAAAAAAAGAAAAAGAAAAAAAAAACCCAAAAAAAGACAATTCCCCCTGCTTGATTCATATATTTTTAAATAGCTAGGAACTAGAGAAAAAAACATATAAGTATATACAAGCAATCAAGTGATGCAGGCTCTACTTGTTTTTATGATTCGTCATTGCAAACTTGTATAGAAATAACATCTAGAGCAGGACAGCTAAAGTCTTAAATAGACAAAAAGATCTACATTTAAGCTGGTCATGCTATAGCTACTTTTTGGAAGAATACTTATAATGCAATTACTTTTTAATTTAAAATGTTTTCATGTCTCCTTATTCAGCTGTATTCATCAAGAAAAATAGCATTCTGTACCTACTGATCTAAACCTCAAGTAAAACTCTATTTACTAGTCACTTCTGAATATCAGATAAACTACCTGCATCTGCAGAATCAACATGACCACTACTGCAAGACTTCTGTATGCAGCTATTACCTAATGCATTGTCATCTTATTGTGACAGCAAATAAGATGAAGTTTGAATCATATGCATAAATAAAACAATAATTTTTGTTCATGTGCAAATGGTCCTTGCATCCTGTGAAAGTATTGAAGAAAAACTGCAGCACAGTCAAAAAGATAAGCATTTAAAAGGAAAAGATGGCAAAGAAAGCAGACATTTTACCACAGAAGTGATCATGCTAGAATAGGTGAGAATCAGACCTTTGCAAGATATGTGCTTCAGAAACATTGCAGCCATAGAAAGTGATTAACTACCTTGCTCCACTACTTCACTATAGGTCAAAACATTTTCTGGATACATAGAGTCAATGATGAGATGCTAAAGGCATTTTCATGATTCTAAATGTAGCCTAGAATGCTGGTGACAAATAGGAAAAAAAACCTGATAAACACTTTTTTTTTCAATCTTCTTTACTGGTATCCTAGTATACTAGTACTAAAGTATTTTCCTTTGAGTATTGGGCACTGATTCTACCTTAGACCGCAACTCCTAAAATTAACAAGATTTATGAGATAAGAATGAGTGGGAGTTTTGGTTCCCCTTTATGGAACTGCAAAGGATAAACGCTATGGAGCATCTAGAAAATACTGCCAAGAGGCAGTGAACCATTTTCAGGCAGAATTAGAGAGCCCTCTTGCTGGTAGCTCCCTTTCAGTTTTCATCTCTGTACTCCTAGCTGTAACTCCCTCGGAGACACAGTAACAGCAACACTGAATCACCGTGTCCCCCAGCGCATGGCACCACACCTACTTTTCTGAACTTGGCTTATTTTCTCTTGTTCCTGCAACAGAGAGAGTCTGTCAATGACTTATGGCAATACCTTTTTTCCTTTAAACTCCAAAGAGCTTTTTCAGCACAGCATAGCCCAGAAAAGAGGTCCTAGGAATGCCATTCCAGTGCATGTCAACAAGTGCTTGAGTAACACCAGCTGAAAAGCGCTGCTAGAGATTTGCAGTTGGACTCCATAATTTGAAAAGGGATGTGTTGAAAATATGCCTCATCATGTCATGACTAATGTTGAATGTTTGCAAGTTCTTACAATAAACATCCAAAATAAGATTCCATTGTAATAGTGAAGTCAAACGAAGCTTGTGTAAAGCACATGAATAACTTTTTGTACCACTCATCCATAATCATTCCACAATCATCTTTTGCCCCAGAACAATACACTGAACGACACTTCCCAGCTTCTTCATATTCCTTTTTTTTTTTTTTTTTTTTCTCTTCTGAGAGGATTGAATTCTACTTATCTAAAATTCATACAATTAGGTACAACCTAAGATGAGAAAGTTAAATGATTCAATATCTCTAAGAACTGTCATTTAAGTCTAAACTAAAAGCTTAGTCTATATTCACCTACATTATCTCAGGCACTTTCAGAGTATAGGTTAACTTCTAGCTTTGGAAAGATCAAGCTTTTAGGTCCCACTGGCAGGTTTTCACAGCCAAGGCACTATTTTTAGCAGCTATGAAACCAGAGTTTCTTGAAATCAGTCACAGGCTTAAGTCTCATAGACACAAAGAAACATTTAAAGGTACAAAGTGAAGAAACAGAATCAAGATCCCCCCAAAAGAGAATAAAATTCTCACCAACATAAGTAATGCCTAATTAAGTCAAACTGAAATAACAACACTCCAGAAAATTTGGTCTCTCTTCTGCTTCTGAGTTTTTAAACATGTCTTTGAATAATCTAAAGTGTCTAGAAAGACCTTCTTTTCTGTTTTGCCTTGCATTTTAACTGTTCTGGGACCACAGTTTAAGAGGGAGCAGAAGTATTTTTAAAACAGCTTATGAAAAGAAAATCTTGATATTTGATTCACTTTTGTGGGGCAAAGCAGTGATACATTTCTATGGTTTGCATATGTGTGCAAACAAAGTGGTAACTTCAAACAATTCAGTTAAGACAGTTCAGTTATCAACGGCCCATATTAATTGTATATAAATACAGACATTTTTTAAACAAAGTTAGCCTACTTTTAGTAATGCCAGTAGTGATTTCTGAGGGATAGAAAAATATAAACCTACAAAATAATCTACCAGTTAAAAAGGAAAAGGATCTGTGAAAGAAGGAAGCTTAAAAAACCTCCACATCAGAGATCCTGAGTCAGACTGAAAGCAGCTTTTATATCAATACACTTTCGAGTTTGAATTATTTTAGTCCAGCCATTGTTGACTTATCAACAGCTGTATTAATAAAGCTGAGAAAAACACTGGGTCCTGTGGATTATTTTTATGACACAGGAGTCTGTGTTACATTAGTTATGCATCTGTCTTGCCTGGAATACCTTACGAAGATGATTATAAGAATTTACAGTTATAACATCTTTGTACACCGGAGATTTAACATGTGTTCATATCTGAGCACCGAGGGCATTCATACCTTTGTGAGATCCTTATAAAGCTCTGGATACAGCAATGCCATTTCTGGTTTCACATCCTGATCCAATACTAGAGAGAAGACTGGAAACATAGTATATATGGTTGCATATCTAGGTGAAGGGAAAAGGCACAAATTAAAATTGTGTAGTAGAAAAATACCAAACTAATCTATGAAGTTCACTTATTCCTTTGATGATAATGCAGTTAAACTGTTTTCTCTACCCAGTACTGAGGCAGTTTAGCAATATAGCTTTGGAAATGCAACCTGCTCTTGGGCTTCCAAGAGCTGCCAACTGTGAGAAATTACAGAGCTTCTATACATGTTGAAAATAATAAATGCATTTACTTCTTTTGCATATATCAGCCAGCCTTATTGTCTGTTACCATATTCGCTATGCATTTTTACAGCCAGTTCTAAGACCTTGCATTTAAATTCATTCACAAATGATGCCAAGAAAACCACAGAAAAAACAAATCTCTGAGATCACCGTGTAAGTGGATGAGAAAAGTTCTTTGTAGCTCCACAAGTGGCTCTGAATTTTAGCATGCACATGCCAGTTGTGCCTTTGGAGGCCACACAGTATGAGCTTTCCTAGGACTTGCATGACTGTTTACAAGAATTTACTCTTTGCCTCTGCAGTGCCAGTTGTAATCAGATCTTAATTTAGCTATGATTAAAGTTGCTATTGTTAAACTTAAATAAGAAGTATAAAAAGAAGCTGCTAGGACAGAAAGAGAACAGAGCTAGACATGAATACAGGAGTATACCTCAGCTGCATGACTTGGGAGAACTATATAAGCAGCTTTTACGACAAGACCAGGGTGCTTCCAATTCTGCATATACATTCAGCCAAATGGAAACGTTTGTAGCAGACTTGCTGCAGTGCCCTTTCAGAGGAAATTTCATAGCCAGCAGCTTCAGCTCTGTTTTTAAATGGTCAGAAGAATATGGGAGTCTCACTGAAGGCTGTACAGCAATTGGGTAACAGCTGAAATTCATTTATGGGATTTCCTCCATTGTTTTCACTCCATATGTCTCAGAGGCTACATGATACCTCCTAGTGAAGCTAAGCAGATCCTTCTCTCTGGAGAACTTAAAATGATATTTTCCCACAGGCAGCACATAACCAGTCTGAGTCTGATTTTTTTCTTTCTAGACTCATTCTGAGTCTTCTTAGTATTATCAATGATAAATGTATGACAAATATCAACTACAAGGCATTACAAAAAGTTTTTTATATAACTATTACCGGATACCATAGCTGCTGATTTTAACTTACCCTACCATTAGGAATCCTTGGTACAAGGGAACAGATGCAAAATAGAAGACTGATGAAAATACAGCCTAAAAACAAACAAACAAATAAATAAATTCTACTTAAAAAAAAAAAAACAAAACAGCTTAAGATTTCACAACACTTTAAAGAGAGCCATGGTATTTTTTAAGTATTCTGAAAACAAAGTTCTAAATACCTGCATAGTTGAAATAATAAGGCCTCGGTGCATGACAAATTGACCAAGTGCTGCTGATCTTTTGTAACTGTTTCGACCATGTACCATCAGCAGTCTACCTATGTGTTTAAATTGTGTGATAGAAAAGTCAGCTGCTAGGGAGGCTTGTTTTCCCTCCTAGAATAAAACAAAAATATTCCAAAAATACACGTTAGTCTAAAACATGCTGTACAAATTTCAAAATTTCAAATAATAATCCACTTAAAAGGTAAAATTTGCTCCTGCTTCAGCAATCATCCCTGCAACAGGACTCAAAGGGCATTTTTTTGTACGTGTTTTAGGATACAATGCCTGATAGTTAACTGTCTATGCTGTAGATGCAAACACAAACAGAAAATAACTATTGTGTTTCCTGCCTTGCTTGCGTTTTATATTTAAAAGATAAAGCAGAGAATATAGGAGCACAGAGGGTATTAGTTCAAAGATTAAGTTTATTCTATCATCTTACAATATATTTTAATTAGAAACATTGAATTAGTTACTGTTTAAGAATAAAGCCTCCTAATCTCATATTATTATACTATCACGTCACACATTTGACAAAGAAACTAGTAACAGTACCTTGCCTTCAATTCCAATTCCACAGTCGGCTGCTTGGATCATGCTGACATCATTTCCTCCATCACCTGGAAAATGTCACTGCAATATTCAGCTCTTCAGAGGTTTTACTCTCCCAGCCTTACAGTATTTTAGCAACATCTTATATACTTTTAAATTCTTACAGTTAATCTACAGTTTATGACTAATGACTTCAACAACCAAGGCTTTTTTTTTCCTGTGGAATAAAAGAAAATCACCACACCTTTTTCAGGTAATGGTACTTTCTGTCACTTTTAAAACAGTTGCAATATTCAGCTATGTAATACCTAGCTGTTAATAAAGACGTCTTTGGCTTTGTTTCAACTACTTCTCAAGGGTGCCATCTGCTGCTTCATTTTATTATAGATTTTACCTACTACACATGAAGACAGGGCAACGGTTACCTATTGCACACGTGCGCTTTCTAGTGTGGTGTTGGAGCAGCTTCACGATATGGGCTTTTTGGGTGGGAGAACATCGGCAGCACACGACAGCAGGGCACTGGCACGCCAGCTCTACAAACTCATGCTCATAGTACTTCAGACAAACCTAAGGAAAAATACATTTATATTCAATTTTAAGACTACACAACACAGCATGCAGTATAACCCAAAAGCAGTATGAAAGAATTCTCTTTTCTGAAGTTTTTTTTTGCGCAACATCCATCTGAGAATGACAATCCCACCTGATGTCCTGACTGTGACTTTTTGTTGTAGACTGACATTCTCTCTCTTTCCTTTGGCTCGTCAACATTCTTTGGGGTTAAGAGAGAAGAAAAACTAGTATACCATATTTACAAGAATTTTACTCTGTTACTAGACAGAAGGCAAAGGAACCAGTAGAACTTGATTGTCTAGAATATAAAACCTCTAATTAGCTCTCAATGAAAAATGACAGTAACCATAAGAACAATTTAAAATATGGACAAATGTTGGAAGACACTGATATTTTAATTCTGGATGTGAAGGTACAGATACACATAATTTGACAGAAAACAACCTCTTACCTCAAGTGAGTCCCCAGATATCACCAAGGCACAGTCATGCTTCCTTCTAAAGGCATTGAGTTCTAAGTGAGCCTCTCCTCGAGTGGTAACCTAGAGGAAAAACACAAACAAGAAAACCCAGACCACTCATTTACAATATTTTGTTATATTCTTAAAAACCTTCCTAAACAAAGCAGATTTTGAAAAATCAAACCCAGGAAGCCTTGATTGTTCAACTAGTGCTTTATCCTAATGCATGTCCAATGCTCATGGAACATATCTACAAGGGCTGGAAAAATTAAAACTCAAACAACAAAAAAAATCTGTGTAGACAGTTTAATTGGTTCCTCAAAGTGAGCCAGGGCTAAAAAGGAAACAACAAAAGCAAACAAACAAACAAAAAAAACCACCAAAAAATTGTCAACACTGTAAAATATCTTAATTTTAAGCTGACTGGAGTAATTTCATCTTGCCAGGGATGGAGGAAAAAAGCTTCCAAGTTTAGAGAAAATAAAAATTATATTATTATTAACTAGTAAGGTGTTTAAAAATATTAAAGGAAAAGCATCCAAAAATGTATATTTTTTGGAAAGTCAAAGTAGCAAACATTTTTTACTAATTTATATTTAAAAGAGGAGTATTAAAGTGCCTCCTGTTTTCTTACATTAATCTATTAGCTATTTCTTTGCAACTAATGTAGCCACAGAAATCATTCTCTACAAATCTATTTTCTAACTAAAACTTCATGTGTTCTAAATTAACGCAGTTTTATGCTGATCTCTTCTTACTAGTTGAGGTAATGAAAATAAAAATCTGACTCAAACTAAATAGATTTTGTTTAGGAAGACTTAATTTGTGGTGTTACAACATGGAAAGGTCAACAAAAATTGATCTGAAGTTTTATCAGAAGCATTAATAATTTAATTGCAAATAGTAGTCCGCAGGCCCTAATTTGCCATTCTGATGCTTCAGAAGAAGCTACATTTACATGTAAATTATATTCAAATAATTATTTCTGTAGGTGCAAGTGGTTCATTTAGAACACACACAGACATATTATGTCTGATCACACAGCATCAATCAACGTCTGGAAAAAATCTTTATTTTTGTTTGAAGCCGGTGGAGCTGATGCTATGCAATTATAACCAAAATGTACAGAAACAGACACTCCGTTTAATTCTCCATCAATTATCTTAGACTGTTAACAGAACACAACTAGTTTATTGGAAAAAATCATAACAAACAAAAAATTCTGATTTTCTCATTTTGATTAGAGCTATGTCTATCCAGTGGACTTTGGCATCACAGCTTGTTTCAGAAGTCTGACTAATTCTGTACAGCCCTATGAATGGAGATGCTACAGTGAGCAAGAACCATATTCAGACAGCCTTAAATTCCTGGAGACTTCTGGGTCAGAACTTTTACATAGGCCTTTATCTATCTTTCTTTAGAAGTGCATTTCTCTGTCCATTTTACAAATCTATAATGTATTACACAGCTAGAACATGGGTCACTTGATCATGGGTGCACATTTCTGGAGAATATCAACACCTCTGGAATCAAGCCTCCTGAAACAGAAGCAATGCTTTACAATTCCAGAGCCTTGAAAAATGGTTTAGTCTAACTACTATCCTATTGACTGAATTATGACACCCACTACAATAACACATCAACTTTGGCAACAAGTGGCCAACAAATAAAGCAGTACAGGTGTTAGCCCAACTCTCCTTTAATAAGCCAAGTTTAAAAATTGGAACTGTACTTACAGGTCTGAAAATATGGATATCTTGTGTCCGAGACACCAAGTGAGAACTTTTTGCAATGCAAGTTGCTGTCTCCAGTTTATCTCCTGTTAACATCCATATCTGCAAAGAAAAAATTAAAAGTTAATTCTCTTCAGCATTAATGTGACTGTTCTCCATATTTAAATGACATATCTTCCCCATCTTTTTCTGGTACCCTATGCCAGTGAAAATATACTCATGGCGCATTTTTAATTAAAGGTTAAGGAATAGGTATTACTGCAATAACATACAAAGAAGAACACTATTTTGACTTCCCCTTCCCTTCTCACAAGGGCCAGTGTCTCGATTTCCATGAGGAATGAGGGGATACTCTGTGGAAGCCCACTGCAAATTGAACAGAGAAGGCATAAAAGCCTTTCCCTATGGCCTGACACCATCTTGACAGGAACGGGGGATGCAGTCCATTACAAGACAGATAACTAGGGAGATAGCTCAGTAAAATGACACAAGGCAACTGTTTGATACCAGCTAGAATCTGTCAGAAAGCAGCAGCCAAGACAGCAAACAGGATGCTGGATCCAGCCTCCTTTGGAGCTCTAGACCAAACAGAACAGACTGTCCATGGAAGAACAACCTGAACTGCATAGGTTATTACTGAATAATTACAAGAGAAGTTAACAGCTACAATCTGCTTAAACTAAGCCTCTGTCTGCTATTCTCTCATCTTCAAAGTAGAATGACTTCTTCAAGCAAAACAAACATTGTATATGATACAGTTTAACCAATGAAAAGTCAACATATTTTTTCTATACAAAGAATTTGGCACTTTACACCAAGGAGAATTTACATAATCCTACCCACTCCCTTCAGTCAACAAATATTCCTCATATCTTTAATCAAATACTCCAGCAGGCTCTGTCTTAGAGCACTGCAAACACAACACAGCCTCTCGTGCATAACTTTGGCACTGCACCTTTAACATGACCTGAAGAAACTGTTCAGAACTGGGCAGTTCTGAACTCTAGTTAAAATAACTTACTCTCTTGATCTTCACTTACGCTTCTTACAAGTACAAAATCTGAAAAGTATTATATGAATCTTGTGCCAAACTCATTTATTATAAATTTCAAAGCGGAGAGCTTACTGTAGCGGCCTGTAAGAGGAGAAATGACAGAAGACGCATACATTCCTCT